CTACTTTCCCCCACAAAGGCTGTTTCGAGTAGGCAAGCGGACAAAGATGAAGCAGATGAATTAGAGGCCTTAAAAAGTAACGATGTTCAACTGGAAGGAAGAGCCAAAAGGAAACCTCTTATCAAAGGGACTGAGCACGAATGGAGAAAGAATCATTCAATAGAGAGGCTTTGACTGAGATTTCTGTAGGACTTATTTCCAGGGCAAACTGTGAAGGCAGAACAGTTATAGGTGGCGCAATGCGTATTATAAGCTGACAGTCTAGCTTTTCCATCTGAAGGAGCCAATACAAAACACAAAAACCCAAAAGCAGGCCAACTATTTATTTTGAATGTGATGATATATATATACTTAAAGAATGGTTTTAAATTATTTTTAAAATAATTAACAAAGAACAGGAATGGTTGAGAACATGGTCTCCCTTTGACTTTCCTCACAAAGCCCCCTAGTGAAACACTGGCATGGAAACATAGATGCCTGGATTCAAGAGGTTTTGCATAACTGTATGACCTTGGCCATATCACTTAACCTTGAGTCTCAGCTCCCCAATTGTTAAATGGGGGTTGGATTAAGGAAAAAATCCAAGGCTCCTTCAGACCCCAGATTCTGAAAGCCCAGAGGTGACAGGGTTCAAAGGTACATTAGTGCCATCTAGTGGCAAAACAGTACACTAACAATACAAATAGAATAGTAGCCGGTTTGAGGAGCTAGGAAGGCATCAACTCAATTAGAGGCCTTAGAAATCAATTCAAAAGAGACAATAGAAAAAAAACGAGGCCTAGAAAGGAAGTAATTTGCCTAAAGCAGCACAACGGTTCCTGGTTCCTGGTGTGCAGTATGTGTGATGAAAAGAGTGTCTGCGATACTTATTAAGCCTCAATAATAAAAATGGAAATTAAACAGTTTGCTACTCTGAGGGTGAACGACAGCTAAGCACCACTAGAAAATGGGCATGGATTACTTTTACAATTAAAAAGTTAATTTTCACAAGGGTATTTACAGCACATCTGCAATAGGTACCATTTGCTTATACATTACAATTTTCTTTTTTAAATTATGAGCCTACTACCCAATTTCCTTCCTCCTTCAAGTTCTCTGCAAAATGAATAATTTTCCTTACAGGATTGACTGTTCAAATTTTTCCGATGTCACATATAATAAGGTTTAGCATATTTTAATCAAATCCTAAAGCCACCTACATGCTCCATTCTCTCCTTTCTCCATCCCTGACTCAATCCCATGACCCCAAAGGTAGGTAAATTGTTGAATGTGGCTTTATGAAACAGGAAATGACCCAAGCCAAATCCAAGAGTGACATCAATGTTTTTTCATAGTTGCTTTTCCAAAAGTGATGTGTTGGTGCTCATATTTTTTAAAAATGTACACCACCGACTCCTCTGTAACCAAATTTCTCCATTACTAAGTTCTAAGTTCCTCTCCCTAAGAAAACACACATCTTAACTCGCCAGCTTCTCTCTCTCTGAAGGAATACTGTCCTCTATTTCAGTGTCTCCCTTTAAACCAAAGGATCAACGAAATTTTATACACTTTTTTTTCTTTTACTAGGCTATTCAATTGTTCAATGCCCTCCTTTAATTCCTTCCTAGATTTAGTTACCATGGTTGTTATATTTGCCTGCTCTTTGCAG